CTCCCTCCCCCTTTAGTACGCATACATGTATACATACCACGATGATGCTAATTGACCGCGCGATCAGTTCTCCTTTGCCGAGCTTCTGTCAAGTGAGCCGGCCCGGGTCCCTCCAGCCACATCGGCCATGGGGCTTTTGGCACGTGCACTTCTGCTGGACGATGGCTGCCTCTTCTTCGAGCCCCCCACCTCGTCGAAATCAAACGAGCGAGCCACATTCTCCGTTCGACGTCGGCCTGGGGCTCTGGGATTCGGGCCCTCTGGCTCGAATTCCCTCGTCCCGGACCTCTCCCTCGAACCCGCCGGCCTGATGGGCATCTGTGCCTCGCTGGCTCGCTTGCCGCATGCCTGCCATAAGACCCCCAGTCCCGGCGCTCGGCCGGGGATCTCCTGCTTTTTGGATTTCCTGCCGGAGGGCGAAGCCGAGCTCTCGAGCCAGGCCTGCATGCAGCTCATTCCGCGGCCCGGTCTGTCCGTTGGGTGTGGAGCACTGGACCTGGTGGCAGTGCGTCTGGTGGCCTTCCACTGCGATCTCATTGTGGCGAATGCGTTGCGCGCTGAGCGCCATGCCTCGGCTGCCGGGGCTTTTGAGACGCGCTTTGCCCGGCAGTACCGACATCTGGCCGAGGGCGCATCGGGCGGCATCACACCAGCCGAGCCTTTTGTTTGCTTGGGTGCCCAGTGTCCCGGAGACTTGCGGCCGCGCAGATTCCCCTTTATGCCATCATCTGAGCAGCCGGTCGGCCGGCCGGCCGCTCTGTCCTTTTGCGCACGCGCCGCCTCCGACCGCGGGCCCCCCAGCAGCTCGGGCAGCGCTTCCACCGCCGGCCTGCTGCCCGATGTCCTCCGAGCCCTGGCTCGAGCGGTGTTGCTCCTGGACTGTCAGATGGTGCTCTTTTCCCGGGAGTCCTGGGGCCCGATAGCCTGCGGCACACGTGTCGGGCTAGACCCGGCTCTGGAGCAGCACCTGCCAGGGGTGGATGCCCTCCTTGTGCGGGCTGGGCTCTTGTATGAGACAGGCCAACTGCCCTCGGAGTGCACCACCGCGGGGGGGTTGCTAGCCCGAGTGGCTCACCGTGCGGGGGGTTATCTAAATGAGCTCACCACCGGACGCCGACCAGCCACCCTCGCAGATGTGTGGTGTCTCTTCCAGCAGGCCGCGCGCATACCGGCCGCAGCGGCTCAGTTCCTGATGGCCTCCGCCTCGAGGGAAGCAGTCGCGCGTGGCCATGCCCTGGCCCAGGCTATTGGTGTTGCCCGGAATCGACTGTGGGTACTTCTAAAAGGTGCGCTTTCTGGCAGGTGTTTTCGGCTGCGGTCTCCCACCTCCGCGCCCCAGGAGGGAGTCCCTCTCTCTTCCACACACACACACACACACACACGCACGCACGCATGCATGCATGCATATGCGCATTTCGCTGGATTGCTGACCAGCATCAAACATGTCTTTGGCAGCCTGTGAGCAGGTTTTTGCCCCGGTGTGTCCGGAGCTCGGTGGTTTCACCCGCGCGACGATCGCCCAACGCATGGATGTGTGGCCTGCCAGACTGCTCTTTGGACAGGAGTGTCCAGCCCCCGGGGGTGGCCCACATTCTCGGCCAGGCCTCCCTTCGAGGGAGAAACTCCTCATCCACCTGAGCGCCAGGCCAACACGGGGCAGTGTGTGCAGCCAAGCATCATCTCCCCCTCCGGAACCCGGGGAACGCTCCCACAAGCGTCGAGCATGTGAAAGCCTCCACCCTGCTCGCGAGAAGCCCACCCAGAGGAGGACAACTTACCGAGGGCCACGGGATGGATGGATCTCCCGGGCGGCCTGTGACGACAGCGATTCGGAGCTGGAGGTGGAGCTCTAAGGACGAGGAATGATGCACGAGCACACATCGTGCCCTTTCCCTCGCCCTGGGTGCGCCAAAAACAAAAATGCACCAACCACCAAAAGCACATCGAAGATCTCGTATGTATATGTGTGTATAAAAAGGTGTATATAGGGGGGAAAGGAGGGGGGGGGGGAAGGAGACGAGGGTAGGCAGTGGAGGCACCGCGAGAGCGCTACGCGTGGGAGGGAACCTGTGTTCCCATGCATGCGCGTGGGGGTGTGGGTGTGCGTATGTGCGTGCGCGAGAAAGATCTGAGGGGATGCACAAGGGAAGGAAAGAGGGACAGGGGGGGGGAAGGGGGAGAGGGGGCGGCATGTGCAGGAAAATAAGCACAGGCCTCCCGCCGGGGGTGGGGGGGATCTTTCCGGCAGCGCCGCTCTTGGCCAGTCCCCGCCTCTCTGGAAGATGCACAAAGGATGACATGCACCGAGGGAGAGGGGGAACAGAGAGAGAGGGGGAGGAGGAAGGAGAGGGGGGATGCGCGGGCCAGTACAAGGAACGACGCATGCACAGACAGGACACAGACACACATCGCACAGGATGGGGGGCGAGAGAGGGCGGGTGGGAGGGGGGGGGGGACCCGCTTCCCCGCTCCCCGCGCATGCCGGCGCGGGGCCAAAGGAAGGACAAAGGATGCACACTATGAGCAGGAGGCAAAGAGAGAGAGAGAGAGGAACGAGGCAAGAGGGAAGGAAAGGGGGGAGGAATATTCCCTCCCAAGATCCCGCCCTCCCCCGCCCCCCTTGCGGCGGGGTCTCTGCTCGAGGCCCAGCTTCACGTGTGGCAAAAGCCCCTCACTCCATCAGGGACTGGAGGCTGACACCCTTCTCGCGCTGCTCCTTGACGAACAGCTCGTAGTACTGGAAGATGCTGCTGACGGCCAGCAGGATACCAGTGCCAGAGCCGATGGCGCCGGTGAAGTCGGCGAAGATGGACAGAGCACCAATGCAGAGACCACCGAAGGCCGCGGCAATCGGGATGAAGCGGTTCAGGAAGCCCTCCACATTGTTGGAATGGCCCTTGATGGTGATGGACTGGGCACGGAACTGGGCGGCCACGTCACGAGCAGACTGGCCGGAGAAGGACACCCAGATGGAGCTGAACAGGGCGCAAGTCCCGAGCACGAAGGCAATGTAGATGATCGTGTGGACGGGATCCGAGGCGATGTCGGCCAGGGTGCGCGGCGGGGACATGTAGTAGGCAAGACCGCCGACGGCGAAGAGCTGGCTCGAGCCGGGGTGGTTCTGTAGAGGTCGAGGGCCGGGAGGGGAAGGAGAAAGAGAGCGCGCATGCGTGCGGACGTGTGCGTGTGTGTGTGTGTGTATGCCCATGGCCAGCGCAGCGGGGTGGAAAAATGGGGGAGGAGAGGGGGAGAAGGTGGAAGAGGTGAGAAAAAGGGAAAAGGAAGCAGGACGGGGAGCAAAAGTGGGAGCATGGAAGGGCGTCTCGCGCCCTGCCACGGCCTCGTGCTCCGTCTGTCTCCCTCGGCTGGCGAGTTGACGAGGTGCCTGCATGAAGGGAGAGAGAGAGAGAGACAGAGACAGAGACAGAGAGAGGGGGGGGGGAACGTACGCGCCACACGCCGAACATGCGGACCAGGAAGTTCTCCGGGAACTGGTTGTACAGGATCTGCGAGAAGAGATAGACATTGGTCACCAGGGCCGAGTGGAAGATGATGGGCATGTTGGAGGTGTAGAAGAGCTTGATCGGGTAGGTCATCGGGGGGCTGTAGCCGCGAGTCGACTGGATGCGGACGTCCACACGGAAGCCCTGGAAGTAGATGACAATCAGGAAGATGAGGACGGTGGCCAGCAGGTTGGTCACATTCGGCAGGTTGTCGCGGTAGAAGGCCTCACGCAGGGCGCGGGTCTTGTCGGTGCGAGTGGCCAGCAGGTAGATCAGGGAAATGATGGCGCCCTCGAACTCGGTACCACGGCCCAGGTTGATGGTGGTCGGGGAGAAGGCCTTCCACAGGATGTTCTCGCAAATGTTGGTGGAGATGAACAGGGTGATGCCGGAGCCGAGACCGTAGCCCTTGGACAGGAGCTCGTCGATCAGCATGACCAGCAGACCAGCCAGGAAGAGCTGCAGCACCAGGAGCGCGCAAATGGGCAGGCCCAGATCCGCCGGGTTGCCGTACATGCCAGTGTAGACCGAAACGATGGCCTGGCCCAGGGACCAGACGAGACCAATGAACTTCTGCGCCGCGGCATAGAGCTCGCGGTCCTCCTCGACCGACTGGTCGACCTCGATGATGTTGGCACCAACGAGGACCTGGAGAATCATGCCGGAAGTGACAAGCGGGGTGATACCGAGCTCCATGAGCGTGCCACGGTTGGACGCCAGGATCATGCGGGCCCAGTAGAAGGGATCGGCCTTCTCATTGGACAGGATGCCGAACAGGGGGACCTGGCTGCAAACGAGATAGATCAGCAGGCAGACACCGGTCCACATGAGCTTCTCCTTGAAGGAGATCTGCATCCCCGGGTGAGAAGGGAAGGGGCGAGGCAGGAGCCGGGCAAAGGGAAGAGACACGGAAGTCAGCATGGGGAGGGGAGGGGCGCTGGAAGAAGGGCCAAGGCCGAGAGGGGCAGAGAGAGAGAGAGAGAGAGAGAGAGAGGGGGAGGGGGTGGGGGGGGGAATGTGGACATGGACAAACGCACAGCACGCTTGTTGGGCTCCTTGACCTCGGGGAGGTAAGAATAAACGGGGCGGAGCAGGTGGAGGACCCTCACTGCGGTGGGGCGTTAGTCACAAGCATGGCGGAAGGGGGGTGAAAGGTGGAAAGGCAAGGGCGGAGGTGGAGATGGGAAGCCGACAAGGATGAAGGGAAGGCCGGGGGGAGGGGGGGGGCCGAGAGGAAGGGGCGTACTGGTTGGAAAGACGGCCTCCGGGGGGGTGGGGGCACGTGCAACTGAGCCGGGCTAAGCACAGGCCTCAGCAGAGATAGAAAACGAAGGGGAAGGGGTGATGGGGGAGACGAACGCCGTGTGGGGCGAATCGCAATGTACGACGACAGGGAGTCTACTTGCCTTGGGGGGGGAGGCAAGAGGGGGGGGTGTCAGTGAAGGCAGAGTGACGGTGATGATGACCACAGTGTGAGAGGGGGAGTGGGAGAGGGAGAGAGAACGAAAGGGTGTCGGAGAGGGGAGGAGCCCACGAGGCTGAGGCAATCCGTGGTTCGGCTGACAAGGAAGAAGCGCAGGGGGGGGGGGGAGGGCAGCAAAGAGGAGAGGGGGTGAAGAAGGAGGATACGCCCTCCTCAGCCGCCCTGGAGGGACCGAAGCCGCAGGGGAGGGGGAGGGGGGGAGCCACCGGCGGATCCACCGCCCTCTCCCAAGCCACGGGAGAACGGGGG